TGCAGGTCGCGAAGTGAGAGGCGGCTGGGAGCGGAGCCCGGGATGCGCTCCCGCCGGCTCCGACCTCTGTAGGGACGGTCCTGGGGACCGATGGAAGCACAGCGCCTGCTGCCTGCCGGCCTCACGGAAGCAGAGCTCGGGCAGGCGATCGTCTGCCTGCAAGGAGCTGGTGTTTCGCCTTCCCCGCGGCTGCTGTAGAGCATTGCCTCCACCTCGCTGCGCCCAGCGTTAGCTTTCCGATCTGGACCAGAACCACAAACCCTCTTCTCCGTGAAAGTAAAGGCAGTGCGTAAAAATAGGTTCCCCAGGGATCCCCGGGTTTGAGACAGAGGAAGCTGCCGACTGCCTTCTGCTGGTGGGGAAGCTGAAAACACGGAGCATGACGGAATCACGGATAAAACGTGAGTGCAGGAGCGCGGTGGGAGCGGGCAAGGGACTTCAGTGCACCGGCCCTGCCGTGGCAGTCTCCTTCCCTCTGGCCGCAGCCCCCCTTCACCTTGGGCTGTTCGTTCTGCCCAGCTCCAGCACAGCTTTTCTGCGCCGCTTCCGTGGGGATGGAGCCGGGTGGGAAGTCTTTCTCACTAATAAGGCTAAATTGCCTTGCCGGTGCCCTGAGGGGAGCTCAGCTCTGCGGTGGAGCACACAGCGAAGCTGCCGGACCCGGGCTGCTGTAGCTCTCTGCAGCATCTGGAGAGACGTACTGGTCGGGGACGAGAGGAGGGAGTGGTTCTCCGTGCACAGTAATTCCCTGCCCTAGAAATTAATCTCAGGCCTTGTCTCTGCTGCAAATTGCATAAGCTTAAATAGTCTCTAACTGTTTAAACTGGTGTAAACCCTTGCGCGTTTCCTAAATTAATCCCAGCCAGCTTTGAAATGAATCTCTCTTCTTTTTTTTTTTTTTTTTTAAGACAATAAAGAATTTTCTGGTTTAATTAAGCCACAGGGAAGGGGTGTATTGGGGTGGGAGCAGGGATTACCTTCAGCAGCAGCACCAGGTCACGTTGGCTTTAACGTGACAGCATGGCAAACGTCTCCGCAACCCCCTGCCTTGGGAAATGAAAACCCCCGAAGCGGGGTGTCTTTCGGCTGTGGGCTGAGAGTGAGCCCTGGGGCAGGACCGTGTGGCCGCTCAGGCAGACGCGGGGACAGGCAGCTCCTCCTGGCCTGGAAGCACTGGCTGCAGCAGGAGGAGAAGGGACGAGGGATGCTGTCACCCTCCTTGTGCCACCCTCAGTGACGGCCACCGACGCTTTCAAGGCAGCGTGGCGTCCCCTCGGGGCTGGGCGTCCTGGCGGGTCTTTGCGCCTCTG